TCATCAGATGCTATAAAGTGAACTTTCAGAAAAAAATATTTATGAACACATATACTGAGCACAGAAGTGACACTGATCTTGTGTCAATGCTCAAGCCTGCCACCGCTGTTGACTTTGCTTCCAAAAAATCTGTATATCTTGACAGCTGCAGGCATACTGCAGGATATGAGGTCAGTTTAGATCTCTGCCTACTCAAGGTGGCTCATGTAGAAATGAATTTCATCAGAAATGTAGAAATGTATTTCATCATTTCAAAATGTAGAAATGAATTTCATCAGAAAGTGCAGTACGCCAAGTGCTTCTGTTGTGAGACCACCATCGTGCCTCACCCTCTGCAGCTCAAATTTGGCTCCTGTTGTATCCTCTGCTGTCCCATACAGTAAGCTAGGAAGGCACAGAGCCCAGCGGTCCTCAGCCATTGGAGGTAAGCACAGAGGATAAAGTCTCACTTTTTAAATTCCATCATGTGTCATCTAAGTCAACAAATATGACTCTGCACATACAGAGGGAGCAGATGGCACSTTCATAGAGCATTTCAGAGTCAATAAATAGACTGACAGCAAATTTCAAAATGTTCCAATCAGTGTTAATGGTAACAACTTTTCCTGTCAAGCATTACAGTGCATAGGATTACTTGATACTGCTGGTACAGCTAAATAGCATGTGGAGAAATTAAGTTGTACTTGGCAATGTTTTTCTCTGTCATGCCCTCTGCTAGCTTGTCTTCAAAATGTGCAAATACACTGCATAAAAAGGCACAGGAAACTTCAATGGTATGTCCTGTGCTCCTTTTCTCTCACTTCACTCTTGAACTTAAGAACTAACTTAAAATGCAAATGGTTTCTTTTTTGCAACTTTGGAAGTTGGTCAAGAGATCTCTGGATTGGTTGCTTTCTGCTGAACATGGGAGGAGCCTAAGGATTTATTTCTTTATTTTCAAGCCTCATATCAGTTTTGGGTGTTCATTAGGCTCTCTTCAATATATCAAAATATTTTCTTATTGAAGAGTATTATTTCTACTTCACAGACTCAAAATTGTTTTAATAAGAAGGCTAAATAAAACTCCAGAAATTCTTACCATTTTATTCCTTAGATACAAACCTTTACCAGAGTTATTAATCTTTCTGGTGGAGGTTTGGAAACTTTCTAAATAGCTGAAGTCTATCAAAGCACAGCATTTTCCATAGGAAATAACTTAGTCTCAGCTTGTACACATTTTAACCATGCCTTCAAAAGAAAATGATATYGAAAAACAATGTCTAGTCCCCTTTATTGATCATTTAATTTTCATCCTAAAAGAAGAAAAGTCTTGAGAAAGTTYGAAAGAGCTTTTTACGAAACCTCCTAAGGAAGCACAGATGGTAGGGCAATGTTTTATACACCTTCACAGCCATTGGAGGTCAGTGCAGGATCACTCATCTGAGCCTTTTTAATGCACTTTTTGGGTTGAATGTACAAGCTTTTCTCAGCAACATATTGAATTAAGCTAGTAAAAGTAACCTTACATAAGATCCAGTTGGATTCTAGTCCAAGTCTTTAAAAGTGTAAATCTGAGTTTTGAGTGAAGATCTGGAATCGAGAGGGCTCTGTGGATGCACATGTGCCAGCCTAGGATGTGGCCATGACTCACTGCAACATCATCACAGTAAAATTCTGGAGCATGGCAGTTTCCATGAGAATTAAAGAAGGGGTAAGGCTTACATCTTTCACAGAACTAAGGTAGTAAAACTCTTTCCTCCTCGCTCACCAGTTCTCCATCTCTATTGTGCCCTTCTCTTTCAAACTTATTTCAAAAAAGTCTGTCCCACTGCCCTCAGCCTTCTCTCTCCTAAGTGTTCAGCTTTGCCTATCCCAGTAAAAACTCTTGGATCTTCTCTGTTATATTTTTAGCATATTTTCTACTAACAAAGAAAAAGAAGAGAAAGGAGTGATATGCAAAGGACGTGTATTAATGTTGCTGTAAGTCTTCAAAACCAGATGCTCTTTGCCAGCATAGCGAACACCAGGTAAGGAAAATAGTCGTGTAAGCCAAAAGACTGTTTTAGATGTCTGTTAGCTATAGTAAAAACATTGGCCCTGAAGTTGTGCGTGAGCAAGTTGTGTCTGCTTACTTAGTATCTTGAAATATTAGCAGCATTGAAAAAGCAGCATGAGGTCCCCTATTTCGGGTTACAAACTCATGTATCAAAAAGGATGCCTGAAAATCCATTCCAAGCAGAAGGCTACTAAAGATACCTAGAACAGCTACCTGCCAGGTTAAGGGACAGATGGTTCTAGATGGAGAGTGGGATGAGACCTGGTACTGTAAGGATCCTGTTAGTCTAGCCATTCTCCTGGATATAAAACATGCTCTTGTGGCACAACACAGTGTAAACCCCAAGCTGTTTTCTTTGACAAGGGGTTTTTTTTTTCCAAAGGGGCACATGATGAGGAGAACTATAGAAGCTGCAAAAAAAAAGCTGTCTTTCATTTCAGTTCTTTTCTGAGATTTGTCATGTACCTTGCAGTACAGTACAATCAGAGTTTACGTGGAATATAAGATTAAATGAACCACATCGGAAAGAAGCTTGCAGTGCTTCTGTACTACTGCTTGGGTGCTAAGCTTCCTAGGAACTTCTTTAAAAAAAATTGTAGGAAGGTTCAGACTTGTTCACTAAATCTTAATTTATTTTTTTTAGCCCAAGTGCAGAACCATATTTTCTTTCATTGACATGGTGATATGATACAATTTATACATAAGGCTTAAACTTCTGCGACCAGGTGTCTCAGAACTGTGGATTTAAGTATCCTTCTGATAATATTGTAGTCTTGGCCTAGCTGCATTTGGGACCAATTTCTAGCAGGAATTTTTATATTCTCTCACAACTTCTAGTCTGACCATCTGAGCACCTGCTCAGTTGAATTCTGAGAGATATGACATGAAAAAAAAGAATTGCGACTAAGTCCGATTAAAATAACAAAGCCATAGATAGACAAAGCTTACTGGTGAAACTTTTTTCTAACTGAAAAGAGGAAAAAATCATACCTCAAATCTTTTGAAGACTTACAGCAACTAGATAAATTGAATAATTTAGTTTCTTCCACCTGTCTGATAGTACAAGATAAAATAGTTCATGTCAGCAGTAGTACAATGTCATGCAGCAGCTGAATGAAAAATACTTGATTCACATAAAGCATAAACACAGATATTGTTATTATTATTATTTTCTTCTTAACCTGTATTTCCTTGAGAAATGGTGTGGACAGAATTGAAATAATGAAGAGTAAAACTATAGCAGTTAGAGCAGGAAATGAAAAAGTAAGAAGTCACCTTTAACACAATAATCCTGTTTTACTTCTTGCAATGATTTGTTCACTGGCAATGGGGAAGGTAAGTAATCTACTACACCGTGTTACTAAGTTTAATAATACTAATAAAAAGGTATTGCCACTTGGATGAGTGGTTCCATTGATTTCACCAGGTCTACTCTCATGAAGCGCTTCATTGAATGAGTAATAATTGCCACATGTAGCCATTTGTTGTCAGACTCAAAAATACATTTCAGGTATTTCACAATACCTGTTTTTTTGTTTGTTTTTTGKTTTTTTTTATAGCTCGGTACCTTTAGTCGCTCTCCTCTGAGCTGGTATGAAGCTCATACCTCCAGAAAACAGAGCAATTATGTCACAGAACAGAGCAWTTTTTTTAAGCTTTGTTCAAATCACTTTCTAATCTCCTGTACAGAGGCTGAAATTTTGTCATTAGATACAGGTTAAACCTATGTCTTGCTTCAACTTTTTTTCTTTCTTTTTTTTTTTTTTTAACTAGCATTGAGGAGATTTGTCTTTGCAGTCAGATATCAGCTATTTTAGTATTCCAGATGTATGTAGGTATGACTTGTCTTAATTGATGTGGTGATGACACAGAGAAGGAACAGATGGCACAAATTGTCTGTGCTCCATTCATCACGTCAAAGGCTGGGAAAAATGACTACCATATTAGCTCATTCCAATTACGGGGACCAGCAAAAAAACAGCCTGGCTGTTGGGAGACCTCAGAAAGGGAGACTGGAATCTGCCTTGGAGTGTTACAGAAGCTGTGCAGCTCTGTATCTTATCATGGATTAAAGAGGAGAAAGGACCCAAGTCAAAGGGATTGCATTCATGTTGTGCCTGCAAACTTCTTTCATTCATTTGACCAAGAGTCAAATATTTTGTGAGAATAACTTACTGCCATAGTATTTGYAAGTGAAAGAAGCTTGAAATGAAAGATGTAATAGAGCCCCTGCTTAATACTGTATTTTTGCAGCAGTTCTTGGTTGCTGTACTGTTGTTATTTTTGTCTGATTATCTTTTTCTTTGTTATTCTTGGTTTTGTCTGAGAAAGAAATAAGATTCCAGTCAGGTATCTTTTTAATTCTGTGCCATGAAATAGAGACAAAACCATATTAGCCACACCAGGCTAATTTATGAAGAATCTTAATCCTTGCAAACAGATTGAAGTATCTCTTGCCACAAAAAGTCTTGGTATTTGTTATGGATTTCAGAGCAAAAGGTATATGGTAAGTCAGGAATCACAGCGGGATCCAAACATAATGCACCAGCTCACAGTCAGTTGTCAACCATATATATGCAGAGGACAAGTTCTGGTAAAAGAATTTAAGGAAACCAAGGTACCTGTGTATATACGTGAGTTTATCACCCCTAACTATTTTCATGTCTTATTCATTTATTTTCATATTGTATGTATCATGTAAGAAAAAGTAGATACATGACTTATAATTAATGAAAAGCATGKTTTTTYTGCAAATTAAAGGAAATTACCCAAACCTTTTTCTGCCTGGGGCTGTGGTACACCCTGTTATAAATCACCAAATGCACGTTCTCAGTGTGAATTACTCTTTACGAAGTCTATTCTGTGTCTTGGCAAACAGGTTGTTTTTCACACTTACGTACTTAAATAGTGAAATCACTTGCTTGGTAAATAGAAAGTGAATAAAATTAACTGTTTCTTTTTCCAGGTTGGAAAGTGAGATACGGATAAGCTCCAGATTGCCTGCATTGCAAGTGATTTAACAGTTCACCTGTTTCACCGTTGACTCAAGTATTGGTGTTGGGATCGTCTGTCAGAAGACTTCTTGCGTAGTAAATGGAATAAGGTAAACAATTTTTGTTCTCCTGAGGACTCTGCATCTTGTCATTGCCTTACTGACCTTCTAACGTAAGCACTACTTAACATGCCTGCAGTTAAGTATGTGAATAGTCCCCAATAAGAAAGGTCCACCTTTTACCCAACAAGGTCACTTCTGGTAGTCTTTCCCTAGATGTAGATTATCTCGTTTTTTCTTTTATTACCTGAGCCACCTTCTGTAAGTGCTTCTGAAAGGATCTTAGAAAAATGTTTATACTAACTGCTTTCTGCACTCGAGGGTTAGCAGAATTCTTTGGCACTAAAGCAGAAAGATTCTTTCTCACCTGCAAACTGCAGTAATATATCAAGACAGTTGCAGCAGCTCCTGTGTTTCTATCTGTGGTAATTTAGTGTTGTTAAAAATTCACTTTCTGTAAATTAGAGATGTTAGGAGAGTCCCTACCTTCAGTAACAACAAAAAGTTTAGCCCTCATGGTTTTAGATTTGTACAGTATGACCCAAATGTATCTGAAATTTTCAGAAATGAAACAGCCCAAATAATCATTACTTCTTTATGATATTTCAATACCTGATGTTACCTGTATCGAATATATCCTGAAAAACAATGGTAAAATTCTTTTGTAATGTACATGGCTACCAACAATGGTATAGGTATGTGGGCAGTCATGTACATTACAGAAAAAAATGGGTATTTTTCAAAGAAAATCTCAACTGTGACGGAAATTCCAGTAGATCAGATTATGATAGTGACAGACAGTTAGAACAGAGTACAGGTGCTTTTTAGACTGAAGTCTTACGGTAAAATTTTTAAAAGGGGAAAAAACTAAGTATTTAGAGGCCTCATTTGTCAAGGGAAATACAAAAAAAAATCAGTGGCTACATCTGAACTTTTTAATTATATTAAATATATTTTAATTTTCAGTTTAYAGACACTAAAAGCCAAGGTTATGAAAATCACAGTAAGAGTGGGAARATAACAGAGAACCTTTCCATAAGTTTTCTTAGATACAAAAGATCTGCTCCCCTTCAAAAATATCTATAAACATCACATTCCAGGACAGCAACCATTGCAACCAAGTTTTCCTGAACTTTATGCCTTTCTTTCAGAGCATCATATACCTGTAACCTGTGCAGATTTAGGATATTTAAATGGGTTACTTCCAACTGTAAACACAAAAACAAGGGGTAACTTATTATTCAGCCWGGGGGTTAGATAATGTATTTCATTATTAGTGACTCTAGAATGTAAATTAAAAATTTGAAATGTGTGGTTTCCTGATATTTCAAGAATGAAATTCAAAATGTTGTGCAGATGTTGATGCATGAGGGCTATGCCTGGTTATAGCGTGTCATTCCATCATCTTTTATTAACCTATAATAAATGATCTGTGGATTTAATAATCTAAAGTGGTTTTCAAAAGTCCAATAAAACTTGGGTTACTTGCTGACACATTCTTGGCAAAAGTTATAATTAATTAGAAATTGGTGGTGACTGCCACCACTAGCAATTTGTTTACACTGCTGTTACTCCACTGACATGTATTGACTTACAGAAATGATGTATTATTATAGTGCAAGAGTAGAATGAGACTTCAATCCTAATCTTAGGAAGGAATTTCATCTGAGAATACAAAACACTCAAATTCTGTTTTCAACCACACAGCTATAGATTGACATTGTTAAAGCAAAAATGATGGAAACAAGACACCAAAGCAAAGATCTTACAATTCAATAATCTGATGGCCTGACATTCCTTATAACTCAAGCTACGAAACAGCTGGGCTTCTTTAGCTCATGAATATCCTTGTAATCAATGCTGTTGCTCAAATAAAYGTGTGTTGAGTCTTCGGTACACCTCCCTCTAGTATTGGAATATTAACACTGAATACATCCATGAAGTATATGGAATTCAACATTAAAATGAAAATTGCTATACTTGCAATGTTTAGTTTGGAATTTTAGAACTAGTACCTACAGTTGAAGGTACTTGAGTTATCAAGAGGATGGTCACAGATGGACGTCCATGAGATGCTGTCTGCTTTGAATTAACCATGCTGTCTGCTTTGAATTAACCCCACTAGTGCAAACAACAAACGCAGCTCTGGTTGCCCTGATATCAGTGACAAAATTCACTTCTGTAGCTTACCTTTTTTCAATATTTTTAATTGTTTTTCAGTAAATGGTAATGTATTACCAGGGTTATACAAGCACCTGGAGACACTCGCCATGATTGGAGTTTCATAATTTTCAAGATGTAGAATGAGAGTCTTGGTAGGAAAAGCTTAGAAGAAATCTGAGACGAAATACACTGGGTCACTGGGAGATCAAGTTTAGAATGTGTTTTTGGTCAGGAGTGTGCAAACAGCAAAAACAGAGCATCTACTTTAGCTGGCAATGTCTGAGCTTCCTTTTAAAAACATGCTTTCATATAGGTGTGAGGAAACTTGCCCTACTTTCTCCTTTAAGTGTCCTATTAGTCAAAATATAGCTTCATTTAAATTACTAGCAACTCAMTGATTCAAATGAGGTTTGTAATGTTATGTCAATTAAATATAGCTCATCTTCTCAGAAGCAGTTTTGTGGAGAAAAAAAAAAAAAAAAACAAATTGAATTGCCCCACTTTCAGTCCCTTAAGCCAACACTCTGTGAGATAAGATATTCAGTTTTAAAACATTTTCTGCTTATTTCATGAACATAGTATAATCAAGCTGTTGTTGAATTTATTTATGTTTTCATAGGAGTTGTGGGCTTGAAGGAGCATTTTTGCAAGCTTATGAAGMTGCTAAAGGTGGTGTAGCAGGTGTTTATGCAGGGTAGCTAGTTCTCGGCCTCTTTCCAGAGTTCTGTGTATTGAGTTATGCCTGTGTATAGCAGATTTCAATCACTGACTTATTCAGTGACTTTACTTAACATCAAAGAAAGCATCTATTCCCTATCTTAAAAAAATTATTCTCAATAAATACTTGTGTGTATTACTATATTGCTGCCATCTTGTTATCATATCTGAAAATTTCTTCCCCATTTTATTAGCTCCATAAGTCAAGAATTTTCAACATTTTCTATGGTTACTCTGGCTCTTTTTAGAGGCCGCTGAAGACTTTGTAGGTGAGCAGGATGGATGCAGGTCCAAAGCTTTATGCTTTACTGAGGTCCTAGTCACAAAAATCTGATGAAGAGAAAAACAATATACTGTGATGATAAAGTAATACAGATGAAACTTAGATACACACTGTAAATGATCAAGTCTGTGCCTGCTTCATGCTGTTTCCCAAGAGCTTTCCTTGAGACATCCATCAAAGAGAGGTGGGGAGAATTACTGAGGTGTGTCAAATATCAAAGGTGCAAATGTTCTGAACTGCCCAGAGCTGCGTTTGGTGGGGGATATTATTTTTATTATTTTTATTATTTTTATTATTTTTATTATTTTTATTATTTTTATTATTTTTATTATTTTTATTATTTAATTTTATTATTTTTATTATTTTTATTAGAGAGAGAGGATCAGATGGGGAACCATCCTCTCTCTCTAATAAAAATAATAAAAATAATTAAAGAAAATGAGAAAGAAAATGCTGACTACTCAGAGAAATGCAGAACCTCCAATTTTCTCTGTGGTAGAGCTCTCTCCATGCACCTGCATGCATGTTACTTTGTGCAAAGTTGTGATATTAAGCCCCTTGATAGATGTACCTGAAAGCAGGTTAGTAATGACTCACCTCTTCAAAAATCCACAAATCCTTCTGCTCTGCTGCTGTTTTAAATAATAATAGCATATACAAAATACCCATTTGGAAAAAAAAAAAATCATTTTAACTCTTTTTACTTCTCAGCCTAATCTTCTGGAATTGAAAATGACAATTGCATTTTTTGTTGCACCTTTCTATACTGAGCAGAGTTAAAGTCTCAGTTTTCTCTAAACCCCTCCAATGTAGGAATCCCTGTGTAATACCTGTGAGCAATTTGCAGTAGGCTTCATTTCTTGTGCTTTATCCACGATCCTTAGGAAGTTTTTACAACCCCAGCACATCATAGGGAATTAGTTAAAATTGTCTTTTAGTGAAAACCAGTGCAGTTCGGAAGCCCAGAATCACGTTTCCAGCTTTGGAAGCATTGGCAGCAACCCTTTTCCTCTAGCTTCCTTAGAGGGACTCCATTCCCTCTTACAGGCAGATACTGAGCAGGACCATTCRGATTTAGCTGCAGTCTGAGGAACAAAGGAAGGACTTTTACCAGAAGAATGACAGCCTTTGTATCCCTTAGAACAGCAAGGCTGAGGGARAAGTCTCAACTGATCTTGCCCTTGTAGAGAAAAGGGTAAAATAAAGTGCACATTGGTAGGAAAGATGTTGCATCTAGCACAGAGTAGTCATTTGCATGTTCTGTCAGGAACAGCTCTGAACTGCTGTTCTTGCTTCCTCCAATCATCCCGAGTGCCTGTGCCTGTCAAATCTGTCGCTGCAAGTTGTGCCTGTGCCGAGGCAGGCGTGTGGCAGGCCCTGACGTGCCCTCTCTGCAAGGCTGCGCTAAAGCTGGGCCCAGGCCCCACTCAGCCATGTCCCTGCAAAGTGCCAGGGCTTGCACTGGCCCCTCACCCTGGGGAAGGGGCTAAGCCAGCAGCAGCTCCAGTCCTGAGCATTTCTTTCGGATGACTCGGAGCCAGGGCTAACCCAGCTCTCACATCTGGATGTGACTTCTCGCACCCCTTTGCACCTCTCCTGGCTGTGATCTTTCCGCCAGCGTGTGAGCATTTTGCAGTGAATTCATGGAAAATGTCTCTTAAGAAATAATGGACTGCTACGTTTGCGGGATCTTTCTGCTCTGCTGATGTCACAGCCTTACTTCTGGATTTTAAGATAATCCAGCAAAACTGTAAAACGACAGATTTTCCCTCTGATTAACCTTCCCAGGCACCACTGTCAAATATAAAGTAGGGTGCTGTCCTTGTACGTCAGTACTGGGGAGCATGTGTGTGCCCTTCTGTCCTTTCCAGCCTCTGGATTATGGAGATGAGATTTTCCAGACTGTGATCCTGAAAATGAGAGGATGATGCGAGTGAGTATGACAGGCCTTTTTGAACCATAAGATAGGAGAAAMTAGTGCATAAAGCAGCTAGTGAGTTGCACAGGGCAAGGTAGGAAGACTGCTACCATCTCCCTACTCACTGGAGTTACTCCATTTGACTCCAAACCATCCTCACCTTTCAGCTGGCATTTGCTCTTCCCTGAGAACTGCAAGAGCAAGAACATGTCCATGCCTTCTTAAAGACATTTTGGGAGAGGATCCCTTGTAGAGTGGTGGGGCTGTGCCAACATTGCGGCGCTCTGGAAGAGGACAGCCCTGCAGCTGATTCAGCAAAGCCTGCAGGCATGTGGCATCCCAGTTAGGCAAGGCTGGGTGGGAGTGTTTCCATAGCAGAGTCCTGCCTGCTAGGTGTAGGCTGTTGCAGCGCTGTTTGGGTGCATCCACCTATATCATGGGTCTTAGTTTGGAGATGTTCAAGGCGGAATTGCTGAATTGCTGTTTGCTGGCCAATAACAAACCATTTTGCATATCTTTCGGGGCTCGGTTGTGCAAAGGCACCAGGGAATCCACCTGCGCTTGTGTCCGATCTCTTTTCCCAGGTATGCTAGGCTTACATTTTTCCCTGTTCTAACAAGCTAGAATTTAAAACAGCAAATTCAAGTTTCTTCCACTCAAATGTTTAGGAAGTGAAGTCTGCAGCTGGTAGACTCCTAAAATGAATGATRCAGAGCTGATGAAGTCTCTGCTAAGCCTAGAAAGAGAACCAAGAAGTGTCAAGCCATCTGGTACCTGCCAGTTGCTAATGCAATAATGTTGCTTTATTGGTCTGGTGCCTAAYGAAGACTTGTATATTTATTTTACCTTTCTGGTGTTCTTTTCTGTAAAATCACTGCAGTAGCTGAGGCATGATATGCACGTGTGCCCAGGTAGCATACTGGGATTCTAATCAGAGAATAAGCTGCTTGAATACATAGAATTAATAACGTGGGCTTCTGTTGCAAGAGAAGTTATTGGGAAGGAGATGAAGGTTTCTTAGCTATGTATTTCACCACTGGGGCAGGTTCTGCAGCTAATTTCAATATTGTTAAAACCGTGACATTTAAGTAACAATGATAATTAAGCAACAATTTGATCTTAATTCCATAGTTCCTCCAGCCCTTATTTGACATTGGTTTCTGTCCAGAGAAAATATAGAGTTCATGTCGCTATGTATTGCTTCTTGTGGCATGTAAATTTTCATCTGTCATAAACTCARGTTATCAAGACCTTGCAACTACATTGCAAGACCATTTCACAACTATACCATCACTAACTGTTCTCTGGGATGAGCAGGTATCTTGTGGAAATCTATCTGGATTATGACACTTAAGTGTTGTGGGGATCAGTTCTCATGCTTTCTTGCAACATGCACTTTTTCCTTTGTAGGTAGTACAGCAGTGTACCATCTTGCAAAGGTAATCCACTAAATGGGAACCCTTGGATTGCTCTCATGAGTGTCAATAGTCTGACCAAGACAAAAGTCCCCTAGGAGGCTGAATGCTTTTGTCCCCTTTCTAGTCTTGCATCAACCTTTTTCCACATCCTGTGTAACAGTAGTAGCACATGGCAGAAATGTTATTTAAAAACTAAGAGATTACTTGGATAAAGCTCTATTCCTCTTTTTTTTTTCTCCTTGGTTTATTGTTCAACCCCTGCTAATTGGCTATATCTAGTTTGCTTCATTATTTGTATCACTCTTCTCAGCAATTTATCTTAGAGCACTTTACAACAGGATATAAATATTTTCATCCTYACTTTAAGAGGTGGATGAGCAGGACCGATGACATAACATGATAATGAAAAAGCGAGGAACACAACCTAGGAACATAGGAAAACATTGATGGCTTTGCTACAGCTTTGTAAGAATTGTTGCTACATCTTCCAAACTTTACTAACATCCATACAGAGCGTGGTGTGTGCTCTGCAAACAGTCTTGGAAATTCACCATCTTCTTGCCGGTGTGCAAAGATGGACTTTGTTACTTCTGACCAGTACCAAAGTTATTAAAGTGAAGGATGGGTAAATCTTTGCAGAACTGGCTTCCTCCACTGTATTGTTTTATATTGAAGATAAATACACACAGCTCTTGTGCATTATGATGAGCTTTTTCTCAATTTTTCTAGAGAAGAAATTAAAGGCATTTCTGTTTGTGGCTTTGGTGTCCCATAGTGCGTAACTATTGGGTCCCCACAGTATCCAGGCAACATAAATTCTTTCTTTTTAAACAATTATTTGATTTGGWTGCAACTTATAAGTAATATATTAGATATCTATATCTATTATATATATAATGTATGCAGCCTGAGTGACAGATGGCTTTGAATAAGATGGAGTTTTAAAGGGCACACTTCAAGTTTTTGTTTTTGTGTTTTTTTCCTCCTGGAAAAATACCACCTTCTGTGTTTGCAAATCATCTGTGTTTATTGGACCAGTCTTCACTTCTACAAGTCATTTGTTCTGAATGGAAACAAGGCAGGTATTTGACTCAAGCCTAAATGAACTCAGGATTTAGGGCCTGGTTAAAGAAACCCAAAAGGATAACCTTTCTCTAAGTTTTTTTTTTAAACTGCTTTAATTTTTGAATGCACAGAGATTTTAATGATGCTGCTTGTTTGTGACATTAAATATTTTGAAGATGCTGAAAACTGAAATTAGTAGAAAAACCATATTTCCTTTACACTTTTACTCATTTAAAGACAGTGATATTTTAGGAGGCTTAAAGTGGGTAAYGATATTACTTACAAGACTAGAGACCGAATTTGCATCATCTGAACTGTTATCTAATCAGAGACTCTCCTCCCCTATCCACGCGAACGAGAAGAAGAGTAAGTCACGCATGGGAGATGTAAAATCACTTTGTGCCCTGCAAGGTGCTCCATCTGTCGGGAAGTGCACCTGGCAGAGGTGAGAGCTGAGTCACTGGAAGCTGCTAAAGGAAGAAAGTCATTCTGGTAAGTTTTCTTCAGTTTATCACAACAGGGCCGAGGCAATCAGTAGCCGGCAGAGCACTCATCATATTTTGCAGGCGTTTTGTTTTGCTGTGAGGATCCGCAAAATAATTCCAAATTATTTCAAACTGAAATTTGAAATAATTATTCCAAAGTGAAAATGCATCTTCTTGAGAGCCTGCTGCCTGCTGCAGGGAGAGAGAGCAATCTACCCTCCATCCTCTTGCTCTGTTTCATCAAGGCATAATACGTGCTGGGATGATCTGTGTGCATGAAGGTATTGCTGAAAATTCATTTTATCTGTTACTTTGTTGTTCTCACCTCTGTCTTTTCCTTGCAGGTAATGAACTTCTGGTCCCTTTCTAATGACCGATAATTGATCTTATCAGTACATATTCACAATTAGTCAATAACGGAATTATTCTTAAGTGTGCCTTAAGTATTAAAAACAGTTTTCAATTATTAGAAAAAATGAGAAATTCTTGCCTAAGAGATTAAAAAAAAAAAACTAACAAAGCTGAATTCTGATTCTGAAAACATTGTATTTAAGAAGCAAAATAACTAGAAATTTACTGTTTCTTTGTCATTTTTAGTGAGCTCTGAAGATGCTTTCTTGACCAAAACTGTTATTGCCTTGCTAATTTAAAGATGTAAATGAAAGACTTCTTTCTAAAGATGTCAAAATCAAACATTGCTAGAAATATGTTTTTTTCTTCTTGTTGTTCTAATCTACAGTTTATCCTCCCCCCCAAAATATGGAGTGAGTTTGCTTGTTTTACAAAATTGACTTCTATTGAGTCTCTGCAGACCATTGCAGTATGCATGAAATAAAGTGATGCATAGAATAAAGAATATACTTTTTTTTTTCTGAATACATTTTAAGGAAATATATGCAGGGGGTGGTGGTTGTTTTTTTCCTACAATTCAGGTCTCCCCTAAGCAGGGAACAAAGTTTTCCAACAGATTTGGGATACCCCACTGTGCAACTTCTCCTCCAGAGGAGAAAACACTTCAGCAACTCATTTCATGGCTAAGATAAACTTTGAAAGTTGATGAGATATTTTTCCTTGTATGTTTTTATGGGCATTCCTTTAGCATTTAAACTCCTGTATTCCTCATACTGCAGCAGTTACCTACATTTTCTGTGGATGACTACATTTCATTGCCAAAATGAGTTATTGTTCTAATTAAAGCACTCCATTTTTTTTATTCTCCTAGCTTTTCATTATAGCTGTTTTCTAAGAAGGATATTACAATACAGTTTTTTTTTAATCTGTCTCCTCACAAATTCTAATTATTCGGGGAGGATGGGATTCAATCGCATGTTGCCAGAGAGAAAACAGAATACACTTTTATAATTTTTTTAATTTATATTTCTTAAAGTCTAAAACACGAGAGCTTGTTCCAAAAAGATTATGTATGTGTTTCTGCAATCAATGAACTCTTGTTTTACAAGCAAGTGTGTGCATAGTCCTGCTCATTATTAATTTTGTATTTGATTAACAGCCTATAGCCTTAACCAACTTCATAAAAGTCCATTTCTCATTAATTATAATAGAATGCTCTTCATCCTATTACTAGGCAAACTGAGTTTAAAGGGACAGTTCACACTAGTAAACACATGTGCATGAATCTGTAGAATGGAGCCAAATAATCTTTTTCTGATTGTAGAGCAAGAATTCTTTTCAATATCTAGCTGCCTTTYCATTTCCTTGTAAGATTAATGTTGTCTGTCATGCTACCAATATAAAAAGATTTTAAAAAAAAAAAAGAGAAAAAAAGTTTTGTTCTACTCAGCAAAAATACCATTTTCTTAAGCCATTCTTAGCAAGATGAATCACATAATTTTAAAGGTTACTCTGTTTAAATTTCCAAAACATTTTATTCTTGCACTGTATATGGAATAAAATAGCTCTACACGAAGCATAATGCTCAGGAGGTATTTTGGAGGTAATATATCTTTAAGTGTCTCCGCCTCTGAATCCACCCACTTGATAGCTGCAGCAGTCTTGTTGACTCATAAAAGCAGTGCTCGTACAATACCCGGCAATGAGCAGTATTTTTCAGAAGTTTTAAGCGTACAACTCCTGCTATGTATTTAGTATTCTAGCTTGCTGGGGCTGAAGGTGTATGAAAGAAGCAATTTCTAAGATATTGCAAAAGATAATTCCTCATCTCATCCTGGAAAATCCTGACAGACCAGTTGGATACCTTTCAGGCCTTAACTCAGAACTTTATCTGTGCGTCCCACTGTCTTTTTTTACAGCAGAAAGACCAGAGACACCCTTAAGAACTGAGAATCTGACTAATTTAAACAGATGGCTAATCCCAGTGCTGTCTGCAATGGACACCTACATCATCAGAAACAGAATAACCTCTTAAAAAGTGGAACCTCTAAGAAAAATGGAATTACGAAAGGAATTAAGGTAAGATTTAATTGTTTACCTTAATTGCTTCAATATTGAAATCACTTGGTTGCAACATTACTTTAAGCTGGCTTCATGGAGGTCTTGGTCTTCATTGAACGGGTGATACAGCGTTGACTTATGTGTTAAGTTTTATCATCTTGGGCACTTCTTTTGTCACTCTGGATTCCAGTGAGAGTTGTAGATGTTTTGCTAATGCACTGGTGGTCTTATGGACTAACCAACTTCTAGTTGGTATCAAACACAACAAGCACATGGACTCTGCAAGGCAGTAGTTTCCTTTTAAAGCCTTACCCAATAGTGGAGTTCACTCTGTGAATCTGTATGAATCACTAGTGGAAAGCTGTCTGATCAACCTAAAATTTGTGTTGAATGGTTTTTAATGTGTGACTGACTGATGTATGAATATGACTGAAAAACTGCAGGCAGGAGAAGCTCTCTTTTCCTCTTGTTTATATTACTTAAGGGTTGRTTTAGTACCTACTGTTCTAATGTCCGCTCACTTACTTCAGCTACCTAATCTCTATATTGCCAGTRTCTGTAGTGCTTAAAATCTGAGTCAGTTTACTTGCTGTTTTTTCAAGCTCTTCTCTTTGAAACAAATTTCTCATTTATGCAAATGTTTTGTGGAATAGCTGGCATTCCCCAAAAAAACCAACCACAAAACCAAAGGTATTCTTTTGACCAAAGAGCTCAGATCTAAAATGTAGCCTCCTTGCAATACCTGTTCTGGATGGGAACATACTGTCCACGTTAAAGTGTCCTAATTATGAATTCTGGTATGGCCATTAGTGGAAAGTCGGGCTGTGACTAGTGAAAGGCTGGCTTTAAAGCCCAACTTGAAGGTGAAGAGAATGGCAAGTTGGCTTGTTGAGCCTCAGTGCTCACTGGACACCTTAGCATCTCTGTACTGTACCTGCTGAAAGCTAGAGACTGAGAGTGCGGCTGGGCTCCTGGATCTATCCAGGAGCTATCTTGTACCTTTTTCCAGCAGGGATCTCATGCACCTAGCACTCTAATGAAGGCACACCCAGAGTGAAGCATAATGATCGTCTGGCTTTAGGTGTCTCCCTTAGTTTGGGTGTTTCCTTATCGTTGGCTTGTGTAGGATGAGGAAAGCGAGAAGGATTGTGCAATGATGAAACAGGCCTTTCTTGGGATTTGCTCCCAGAAACCTAATCTAACTTCTTCTAATTTATTGTGTATGTCTTCACATAATTTTATATACTAGAGTCAAAGCCAGTATGATATAATGGTTTTGTAGAATAAATATGCGTTCAGTATAAGTAGCAAACTTCAAGGAATAAGCCTTGCCATTCAGATACTGCAAACTTGTTGCAAATGTGATGATGTTTTATCAGCAAACTCCGTGAATGGCTTMATTTCCTGCTTAACAAAATGCATGGCCAGAAAAGCAAAGAAAATTATTCCTGAGGGTGAGGGAAAAGAAAGTAAAGCCTGGTCTAAAAGCAAGGGTAAGATATGAAGAAAACATTAATAGATGCACCTGCTAGACTAGCAAATTGCATCAAGTACTGCATAGTTGGAGAAGGAGTTTTGCCCTATTACGTGCAAGGGAAGGGAAGCAGGGAAGGATGAGTATCTATCCCTGCCCGCGGAGGAAATSGGGAAGCCAGGAAGCTTTGCAAGCTCCGTAGGCTTCGCAAGGCAGCTTCGGTAGGGCTGCGTTAGAGCTGCGTTGAGAATCACACGCTATTTCCCCTCTCTTCCTGCTTCAAACACAGATTGGGAAAGAAGGAAACAATAACAGACGAGCACTGCACGAAACAGGAATCTCATTCCCGGCAGGAATCTCCCCGTTCCTGTCTGGTCTGTTTCCCCACCCCATCTGCCTCGCCCTGTTTGGTGCTTAGGCTCTATCCTATTTTGCAGGCATAGGAACTGTTCCTTCATACTTGATCTGTTTACAGTGCTTCGTGCTGTACAGTGGAACATCACCYCATCTTCCCATGGGCTGGGGTTCCCAGCGGCTTGCTGAGGTGTTCTCTTCTCTCGTTGAGGTGTTCTCTTCACCTCGTTTTGCAGCTGGGATCTGCGGAGCAAGGAAAASCGCATCTGAGTGCACGGGGAAACCCGTGCAGGAACCAGACCTAGTTTGTCATGGTTAGAGTCATCTTCCCTTTCTCAATTTCTCATCTTCCTCTGCTTTTCACCAGTTTTCCCTTGCACGCAGCCACGCACATGCGCAAACGTGCACATACAAGCTTCACCGCCAATTAAGTAAATCTACTCATCATTAGACACCTCAGAGAGGACACATCATACCAGGGTGCTCAGGGGACATCGTTGAGGATACTGGCTCTAGTGCTTGAGACCTGTAGCAATTCTGAAAGCCTTGGGCTTGCTTAGTTAAGCTCTGTTCCTTGGCATAGAGGGCTGGAGAGGGAGGTGTCCTGGTGCAAGAGAGGCRACTGGTGGTGCAGAGGCTGCAGGAAGGGCATGGCACACAGAAGGCTTCTAAGCCAGGAGTGTGTGGCAACAGTTACTACACACAACGGACTGACTGGAATATCAGGCTTTGCAGAAATCAGCTCCATAGCCCTCTTTTCTAAGGAGTCTGCAGGAAGCACTGGCTTCAAAAATGCTGGCTTTGGAAATTGGCCYGGGAACAACATATTTTCCATCCTAATTATATAAGAGCATTTGTACATGTATACCCGTAGCAAAAAGAAACAATTCGGATACAGCAAAACCCTAGAACAAAGGATTTTGTTTAAGGGATTRGCGAGTGTAATTAGGGATGATCAAATGCAAGGGAGAGAGAAGGGAGGCTCTCCTTGCTTTAGCAATCTGTGGCATAACGCTAACAAGAGAGGAGGGCAGGAGAAGAGGTAGCAGGGTGACAGAAGCAAAAAGTCATTCTGTCAGAAATGATGCTGTTGCTTTGGGGAGATATATACAGTTGTTTGACTGTCTTCTGTGATTTAAGTCTGGCTTGCACAGTTGTAGTTGGTAATACCAACACCCATGTGGTAGTGGAGACCAGSTCTGACCACATCCCCATTCCTGCCTTCTTTGGAAGATGGATCACAGAAGGACCTAAAGCTTTGGAAGATGGATGATGAACCATCAGTTTCCTTTCTTGTGTGTTTGTAACACTGATAGATGCTTCACATTCTTCCAGAGCTGTGGCCTGTCACTGTCCTTATTCAAACCACAATTCAGCAGTTAATCTATTCAATTTTCTAACCAAAGTAGCCAGGAGAATCTTGTGACTTTTAGTTATTGTTTATTGCATGTCAACTGCAGGAGTAATTGTACATCAAAGCAGTAGCAGTTTGTCCAAATGGAACTTTTTTCCTACAATACCTACCCAGCAGTTTTATCCATTTGATAAATCACTTCCTTAGGTCTTACAGCACCTAATTCTTTTAATCTTAAAAAAAGATAATATAAATCTAATTTTAGATTCATCCTGTTTTGTGCTGAACRTTAAGTATGGTAGAGGTCTGGAAGAAGCTGTCAGGGAATTGAAAAAAGCAAGCTTTTCTTCTTGGAAAACCTTTTCCAAGATTGTTGAGTTTCTTTTTGAAAGCAGAAAAGATATAAAGTGGAGCCATGCAGAGCAAAATATCATGTCCAGCCATCTTTCTCGGCCTTAATTTAGTAACCAAAAATATTGTCAGACCTTTGAGGTTTTAAAATTCAAATGTCTGTCGTGTATACTCTTCTAATATGCTATATAATCCAACAGTCAGTCTCAGTTCTTTCCGTGCTTATTGCTCCCCTGCTTCCCTTCTTTCCTTTYTATATTCCAGTGTCACTAACTCCCCAAAGGAAGATTTTAAAGCAAGCATTACTTGGATGTTTTTTAAAAAGAGTCATGAGAGGAAAATGCCATTTAACTGTTCTCACAGGAGCAACTTGCCTATATGTTGTAAACGCATCCTATCATTCCTTTGTGTTCTGTCCTCTTGAATATATAGTGTTAACTGCATGTGTTTTTACAGTAGTTAGTGGAACTGGGGCATTTTGAATGTAAACTCAATATAAATACTAATGAGTTCTGTGTGGAAAAATAAACTAAATCCTGTAATTAAATAGTGTAAGGTATATTGATAAGAGAATAGAGAGGAGAGAGTTTTTGTGGCTGATAGACCACAACTTTTCCAAATGTTTTCAGCCTCAACTCTAAAACATTAATGACTGACTAGCAGAATCATTTCTTCTGAAATTTCTTCATTTTTTGTGTGTTGCTTTGGGTAAGAACAAAACAGAAGAGGACTTCATTGGCCTCAGCCTGGTTCATCCCTAAGCCTCTTTGGGCCTATTCAATTGTGTTAGTGAAAAGCTGTGGTCTGTATGGGTTTCATAGTGGTAGTGACAGCTGAAGGATATTACACATCTGAGTTCTCTACCAATTACTAAGGCTTTCACCTCAGCTGCACCACAGACGTGACCTCATCGTACTCCATTCTGGTATTCTCCTTGGTTTCAGGCCCCAGAAATTCGTTGCTTTGCACCAGCATTCTTGGCTATTAATCACAGGCTTCGGTTCCACACCCTTCCTTCTGTCATCTGCTCTGCTGTGTGATGAGCTCAATGCCTTGGAAGCAGGAAATACAAAAGACTTCTTCTTTCAGCAAACTTTGGATGCAACAGATGTTGTAGGCACACGAAACAATCTAGGACTCTTATAACAATGATTTAAGTTTGTTATATGAGACTTTACATGCAAGGAGAGGGATCTTACAATGCTTTACAAGCATAGTAAGTAGGCTTTCAGTAGGAAACTGGTGACACCTGRAAATTTCTAAACTGAGATTTTTTTWAATTATTTTTTACCCCMMAAAATGTTTGTTTTGGTTTGGGAGGCCTAAGAAACAAAAGGAAAGCAAATGATAGTCAGTGGAGCAAAAGAGCTCAATAAGGATGTCAGGTGTTTTAG